TTTTTAGAAATGCAATCTACGCGTAAAAAAGCTTCCGGAGATGTGCTACTTGTCATATGAGCACCTATCCTTCATGACCAGAGGGCTGTCAAAGAAGCGGATTTTGCGTCAAAATTGCAATTTTTGAGCATACAGGCTGGATACATATGAAATGAAAGGCCACAAGTGGCACATCTCCGGAAGCATTTTTACAAGTACATTGCATTTCTACTAATTAAAACAGCGAAATTATTAACAGGAGCACTCACATGAAAAAGTTCATTTTTTATGCGTTTTTTGCATAACAGCTCATGCTAAACTTTGAGGCCGCTGTGGAGGCTGAAGATTTTATCCGATCGAAATAATATTTTACACCGTTAATAGTGTTACTGGATAGAACATTTATCCACCAGAGCCGATATCAGAGTCCAAAAGGCACACTTACGGGTGAAGAACAAGTTATTTGAGCACTTAAACATGTGTAACTTTAAAATTGGGAGATGAACCCGAACACTCGCACGTCTTGGAGTTGCACACTTGCTAAGCTGGTTTTAGAATTTTTATATCGAATTTTAAGGTTTGAATACTCTTCTAAGTAACAAAATTAGACATACGACGTCGCGCCGATGGGCATGCCATCATTAATCATGTTCAAATATTCTCACTCTCGCGGTAACAGCCGCTCGGGTCGTCGGAAACAGTGCGGAAAATCGCACAGTACGCTCAGACATTGTTTATAATATTTTGGAATATTTTATAATGTTTTATTATTTTACTAAAAATACTATTAAAAAATAATTAAATATTCAGGGGGGGACCTCCCGGAGGGGGGACCTCCGGACGTTTCCCTTAAGTTTCATGTTTCAGATAATCTCAAATCTAAATGATCTCCTAAAAGAAAGTATTCTCCCAGTTCATTGAAGTGAAATTGTCAAGAAATATAATCATAGAAGCATTGCAACAAAAGTGTAGCACAAAACATTAAAAAGATGCAATGGAACAATTGACATGCAAGAAATGAAGAAAAGAGAAAAAAAATCACAACAAGGTTCAGACACTTTCATCTTTTTAAACTATCGAAACATTGGAACAAGAAAAACATTGATAGAACTAAAATTTATTAAAAAGGGAGAAAATTGTTGACTGCTGTAGGGATGGTGGTGTGAGAGGACTGTTCTTACTTCTTTTTTGGTACTTTTCTTTTCTTGCCTCTGAAGATGGTGTTTTGTACAATTTAACTGCAGATAAATTAATCATTTTGCCTGATCTTGTTGTCTTGTTGAGTGGTAGTATCACTCCCACACGGCATATGGGTAAGTCAAATTTTGAAAGAATGTACATTCCCATCAGGTCTCGAAACATAGGAGTTTTTTGTTGATCTATGGTGACGTTAATGTCAAAGTTGACCTGTATAAGAAAGATAGATAGATAAGAGTTTACATGTTTATGAATCAAAATCATGTAAATTATCTGGATAAGTGATATTTGAAAATTAATTACCTGGACAAATTGTATGTTTGGTCTCAATTCATTGTAATACTCAATTGTAGTGACATTCATACATGTCTCTATTTCGTAGTTGGTCTTTTCAATCAGTTCACAGTTCAGTTTTGCCGTACAATGTATAAAAATGTCTATGTCGTCGAATTCGTTTGTCAAGTCTGCTAAATATGACCCATATCCTCCTGTTAAAAGAAGAAAATATAGCAATGTAATTGAAATTTCAATTATAATAATAATGATGATGAAAACAATATTTTAATATTGTAATAAGCATGTATTCTACGTGAAATTGTGATGTGTTATTATTGTAAAACCATGTGATGTATGAAGCTGCGGAAAGTGGAGTTCTATTGTGATGGATTATGATAGCATTAAAAGTTGTTCTTTACGTACCAGCTATATAAAATTGGTGTGATCCCGTACATCCTGTGCACTTAAGACTCTCATAAATTTTGATGCTTCTTCTTATCAATAACGGGAATAGTTGTTTGCTAGTTCCAAAGTCAATGTTTTCAGCGAGCTGCATTTTTGGGGCAACTTCCACTAATTCACGTAATTTCCTGCATAGTTCTTCACATGGTGGTGGATAGAGACTGTTGTACACTTTTTCCTTGTTTTGCTGTTCCATTTTAAAGCACTGATTTTAGTATGGTAATAGTTTCACGAAAATGAATTTGTTTCCCGAAAATAAATCTGTGAACTATACAGAATGGTCTAGGGGGAATGTCTCGTATTGTTGTCGTTTCCGGCGTGTGTTTCAAATGGTGGCGGTGGTCAGTTGTACCAACCCATGCAATTATAATTTTCTTTTTTATTAATTGTCTAATATATTAATTTAGTTTAGTTTTGTATTGTAATTCTGTCAGAACCGCATTTTAAACAGTTTACTAATATTCAATTCATTTTTTAAAACATACTTCAAGTGTCATTTTTGTGAGTTGGCTGCTGTGAGTGTCGTTGGGATTGCAGGAACAAGATTCGTGTCGAAGTAGTGTCGTTGTGTGCTGAGGCGTCTCTTTTATTTCGTTGAATCAATCCGTTCAATATCTCAAAGTAAGTATCAATATTTGTTTGTATTGTTAAAGTAGGTCGTGTGACGGTAAATTATGCAGTAAAAATATGTGTTTGCGTTTGGGATCTGATGTAATGTTGTTTCGCTAGGGTGTTGAGGTTAGCGTCGTTGCCGCCCTCTACTTCGTCGCGCTTGTTCGTTTTCGAATTAATCTGTAACTGATTTCGGATTGGGTTTTTATAACCATATATCACAAATTTTGTTGAAAATGTCTTTGTCGAACATAATTTAAAACATTTATTGATCCAAACATCCGTTACCTGGGATGGGTTCAGGATGGTGTCCGGCGACTATTCAGTTTTTGCGCGCGTTTTTTATGTTTAGTTTCTTATTTACTGTTATTATCAGAAACTGCTTTCAAATGTATGATTTTATCTATGCTAGTCATTTTTTGTATTATCTAGTCATTAAGAAAGACTTTCTAAATTGGTTTAATATTACATTGCTTACAAGAAACGCTTTGAGCGTAATCAAGATATTCGCGTTGATTGATTGTTCACCCAATTAATTAATTATGTATTTATTTACAGATGAATGAGGAATTTCAAGTAGGGTTTAGTTCCCTTGTGCGAGGGCAGATGTACCCTCTAAAATCTATAAGTCGCACTGAGTCAACTTTCAATGGAAAACTTGTAAAAGGAATCAAGGCTGTCGTTTTAGATGATGATGTGGAACTTACTACATATCTTCCATCAAAACTTGTCTCTACCATCACTGATGATATAGTCACTCAAGTAAATGCTGCTGGTGTAACTGACTCCAAATATTGTGTCTGCTACTATGGCAAGATGCAAAAGTCGATGATTTGTGAGTTTTATGGCCGTCTCCATTCACCTACTGAAGGTATGCGTTATAATCCATGTGTTCTTGCGTTGTTTTCTGCGATAGTCCATGACACTTGTGTTGAATCTACTAAACCGTTTTGTAATTATATCTCAAAATATGTTAATCTAAATTAACTTTTTTGCTGACCAGGGCGTGACGATAAGTTTTTTAATGATCTTGGAAAAATAATGAACAAGTATACTCATGGTTCAACTCCTGAAAAAAGGAAGTGTGAAGGTGAGGCAGACAGTCCATCAAAAGTCAGCAAAGTGGAGGCAGTAGATTCCCAAGGTGCTTAATTCTTTTAGTTTTAGATACTTGCTAACTTGTTGTAATTTATTCTAAAAAAGGTTAGTGTGTTGTCAATGTTTAATTGTGATTTTCTAAGTTTTCGATACTTGATACTTAGTAAGCTGTCAGCAATGTGTATATTTATTGTCAATGTCATTTTCTAAGTTTTACACATTTAATATTTAGATAGATTCAAAAATAAATAAATTACTTTGTTTTGAAAGATGTCGGTAACATACAAATGTGTATGTTAAATGTGATATTGTAAGTTTTAAATACTTAGATTCTAATATAAATAAAGTATAGGGTTTGAAAGCTGTCAGCAACATGCAAATATGGTTAATGTGATTTTTTGTCAGTAACATGCAAATGTGTATGTTAAATGTAATCTTCTAAGTTTTAAATTCTCAATACTTAGATTCTGAAATAATAAAAAGTAGTCTGTTTGAATGCTGCAGCATTAACATGCAAATGTATGTTTAAGTTTTAGATACATGATATTTAAGATTCTATTAAAAATAAATTAGGATGTTTGAAAGGTGTCAGCAATTTAACATCCCTATGTTTTCAGGTGGAATGTAATTCAGTAAATAAATATGTTCAAAGTTCATTTTAAAAAGTATTTCTTTATTTAAAATTCTTTCCAGTATTTGCACATCATACTTTGTTTTGCTGCTCCACATCTTAATCTAAAGACATATTGTAGTATTATGAGGTTTTACCCTACATAACCTAACCTGGTCACAGCAGACCACATCCTAACATAAACAAGTCACGGCCACTAGTGATCACTATGGAGCGACATCTACAGTTGAACACAGACCCTACCATTGTTTAACGATCGCCTTTGTTCTTCTTGTTGTTATGCCAAACACCCAATAAAAGGAGGCGCGGGCTTTGACTCGTCGCCATTCTCCACTCAGCAGACCTACTAGTGTTTCTGATTCGGCATCCCCTCGTGTTTCCCCCAATATTACATTGGTGGCAGCGGTAAAAATCGCGGGAAGGAGAAAGAGAAGTAAAGTTGGAAAGAACCTATTAGCGTTCAGCCAACTCCTTAGAAGGACCTAATAGTGTCCGCTAAGGCTAGGGAACGGCTCCAAGGCGGACCTACTAGCGTCCCCGAAGAGACGAAGGACGTCAAGAGGAAGTCCCTACTAGAGGACGCCTCCTGCACGGGCGATTAACCGAACGGAAGGACCTTTTAGTGTTCGCCAGGAGGTTAAGTCAGAACCGACCGGACCTTTTTAGTGTCTGTCGGGGAAGACCGGAAAAGTATGCAGTGGGAGAGGGTGCTTAAACCACACAATAGCATCAATCTCCGGCCGCAATGGCTGACCGCAACGACGAGCAGCACGAGCAGCGAGACGAACATCGAGAACCTCGAGAACGTCCCGCCGAACAACGAGAACGTCCCGCCGAGCAGCGAGACCGTCCAGAGCAGCTGGAGCCCCCGCATGACGTCGATCTGGACGACGTCGTGGACATCGTGGAGGCCCGTCACCGGCAGCTGGCCAGATACTACGGACGAGGACAGCGAGGACAACGACGACTCGGGCGAGGCCGTGGCCGTGGTCGCGGCCGAGGACGCGGGCGAGCCAGAAGAGTCATGGAGTTCCGTGTCCGGGAGGACAACGATGAGGAGCAGGACGGGGTACCTGTCCGACAACCCAGACTGCAGCGAAACAGACGAGTGCCGCGACGTTTTCGTGAAGGTAGACAGGAGAGAGAAGCACATGAAAACGAGGGGGCAGCGCAGGGGGAAGAAGAACCGTTTGAGGTTCTAGTACAGGAGGAACAGCCCAGGAGAGTCCGACAACAAGCAGCACCGCGACGACACCAAGAGGAGGACCAGGACGACGTGCTGCAGATAAATTATGAGGAGGACGAAGAAGACATGGAGGAGCGTCAGGAGCGTCAGGAGCGTCCAGAGCGCCCAGAACCCCAGCAACAAGCAAACGACAACAATGCAGCCCTGTTTCTAAGGCTGTTAGAGAACATAGGCAACAGACAAAAGAACAAAAAATACACAGAGGTACCGAAATACAATGGTGACACAGACTACTCCATCTACCAGGTACAGTTCGACACATTGGCGGAAGCCAATGAGTGGACAACACAAGACAAAAGAACAGCGCTACTACAGGCACTCACAGGGAATGCCACAGACGTCATCGCAAATCTTCAGAGCGCGGAAATACCGCTCACATTTGAAGCGCTAGACGAAGCACTGGTGAAAACGTTCAGCAAAACAGCGTCTATGTGGGAAAGAAAGAAAGATTTCAATACGCTGATGCAAGAGAAAGACCAAACAACAAGGGATTTCTCCAGGCAGGTAGAGCGCCTCGGACGATCATACCTGCGCAACATGAAAGAAAGTGACATACAAGAAGCGCTAGTGGAACGATTCATTAAAGGGCTAGCAGACAAAAAGGCCGCAGGCCGGATGGCGTACACAGCACTCCCAACGCTGGACGAAGCACTCAAGACTCTCAACAGAGGGTTAAGCTTCGACATAGAGGAGCCTCCCGCCAAAAAGGTGAGGCTCACGAAGGCAGAAGAGACGGACAAAAAGGAGGAGGAAGAAGAGGACGATGCGAAAGTCAACATGGTCTACCCAGACCAAGCAGCGGCAGGAACATCGTCGGCTACACAGACGGGAGGCAGAGGATCACGAGGATTTCGCGGAGGACGAGGATCACGGGGGACATTTCGAGGAGGAAGAGGATCCCGCGGAGGTCGCGGCGGCTACAGTAGTGATAGTGATAGAAACATTACATGTAAGTGCTGCGGCAAGGTCGGGCACAGAATGGCAAACTGTTGGCACAACACTGCTGCTAACAACAATTTTAATAGGAGCAATAGTATTGTTAATAATAGCTCTATGAACTGTCACTCTTGTGGAAAACCAGGGCATTTTGCAAGAAACTGCAGAAATAAAGGCAATGCCACAACCAGCGGTTTCTCTATGCCAAATGTTCCACCAGATCTTTATAAGGCCACTGTACAATGGTTCTTAAATCAGAACAAAAATGACGGAGCTAGCACTAGCACCGATAAGACTGTACCATTTGTACCCAATAAAACTCAGGAAAACTAGAGACGATCTCCACAGAAACGGTGGACATGGAGATCGAGGTGAATGAAAATGTAATACCAC